TTTTTTTTTAATCAATGCCCTATTGGCACCCACAAAATATGGTGAGCCAAACGGTCGCAATTAGACCTAAAAGTTACATTGGGCACTTACTAGTATAATATTGCTAAAACCAAGACTTGTACATTTATGAAGTAAAGTCAAATATGATTCAGTTGTTTGAAAGAAAGGCACAAAAAGACAATGAAACCTAAACAACCTCTATGAAATTGGAGATGGAGCCTTGCCTGATTTTCAACATGGCAACTGTGACCCAAATAGGATCTGGTATACCATAAGAAATGGATAATGGATACATGAACTCAACAAACCCTTGTACTCGATTGCACCAAATGCTCTGAATTGAACACAGAGAGGACGAGAGTAATTAACAGCAGAGGGCGCTTCTGCAATGGAGAGAACTCTGGCGGGGTCAATGGGCCAGGTTAAGTGACTTAACCTTATTGGGGGTCGAGTTGGTCTTAATCGGGTTTGGGTTGAATGAATCCATGTTAAACCTGGCCTTAAACCAAACACTTATGAAATGAAACGCCATGATGCCAAACGTGAAACATCTTTGCTTCTTGTCACATTGGAGACTAATTTCAACCAAGTTCAAATCAACCCCTACAAGATAATTTCCCACAACATCCCACAGCACATCCCCGCCGGGTATTGGAAACAACTACCAATAATATCTTGTGAGGATATACTGTGGGAAACTATATATCTTGTGGGGGGGCTGATTTCAACTCATTCCAACCAAATTAATATATGGATGCGTCTCCAAGTCTCAACTCAAAACTGTATTATTCATCACACCACCTCCATTATTCCCCTTTTATCATTGACGAATCACTTCATACATCCAAGAGAGAGCGCTAGCTAATTACAGATGTAGGATTTTAATTTCTGTGGTTTCAATGCTTCTAATTTTGGACCAGTTGGATCTGTAGCCTAGCACAATGGAACCATCCCATGTCTCATACCCGTGACACGCTTAAAGTCACAACTCGTGTGAGGGGTCCATTGAATCAGCGTTCTGTCACTTCACAGAAAAGGAAACGGGACTGGTGGTCCATTCCATCATCTGCGATGTACTTTGGCTTTTAATTACATAAATCCCAGCTGCTAACCATCACACTTGGGGTGGTGGTCATTTTAGCTTTGGATACTTGGATTAATTACTACTACTTGCTACTTTTGTTTTCATATATAATTAAGGTCTGAAATAAATTTACTACACAATAACATAGGATTCCTTAGTCTCTTGATGAGTGTGAAATTATTTTTTATAACCCAATTTGATGAATAATAATATTCAATCAAGAATTTCATGGGCTTTGCATTAATTTATGAGAGGAAAATTGCCATATAGAACAACCCAAATTAACAAATTTCTAGGATTTTTTTTTTAAATAATTAAGCAAGGGATTTCTGGTTTTCCTCCCTTGAAAATTATAATGCAAACACTTTAATTAATAGTCTGGTTATATATTGAAAGGGCTGAGACCAAATGCTCATATTCTAGTGGATTAAGAGCTTTTAATTCTTTCTTTAATTTTTTCTTTTCATGCATGAAATAATGTAGCTTATAGGAATATAACTGTTACTGCTTTCTCACAGAGAGGATGACAATTCCTGAAGCAGGCAATTAATTAATTTTCCCTGGTATAGAGAGAGAGAGAGAAACTACACCATTGAGAGTAAAAGACAAAGTAACTAAAGCTTCTGATGATTAAAAGAAACTCTAATAATGCTCCTTGTAAATTGTAACGCTTCTGAGGCTTCCCTTCTGGCATCTTCTATATATGACATGCTGTGGAGAGAGAGAGAGAGAGAGAAGAGGGGACCATGCAAAAGCAAATTAATTTGTAGAAACAAATAAAGCGAAAACTCATCGTCCTTCGCCTATGGATTGGTCCCTTTTGTCGCAAAATAATCTTCAATTCACATCTCTTCTCTGTGCATTCAAAGCAGCCCAAAAGCCAAAAGGTGGTGGAGAGACCGAAGAGACAACGAGATCCATACCCATTTGTGCAGAGAGAAGAGACGATAGCTAGACAGGTAGATAAGACTGGTAAAGGGAGAACAGATAAAGAAAAGGCCTGTCTCTTAAACCCCACTCCACTTGAGCCACAGATGGTGCTACCAGGGAATCCCATTTCCAAGACAAAGAAGTTCTTTCGGAATACCATCAAAAGCTTTAAGTCCTTCCTGTCTGGAGGCTATCAATACCAAAGGCTGTCCAAGACGCCTCCTTTCAACCCCTTCTCCTGCAATAGTAGTATCGACTCCAGATTACTCCATCAAAGCTCTAGAGACTTTGATAAATTCTACGCAGACCTCACCAACCATTACCAATGGGCGGACTCCGGACAAGAGAAGGGAACAATGAAGAAAAGCAGCAAGGAAACGATGGCGACAACAAATGAGCCCGCCGTGAAGGAAGAAGATGTCTGCAGTGGACGAAGCTTCATGAAATTGGCGAATCTAAGTCCGGATAAAAGCAAGAAAGAGGAGAGGAGAGAAGAGCAGACGAAATTCAGAAGAGCCCAGGAAGGACAGAAGCAAGGGACGAAGCCATGTACTGCTACTCTGGGGAAGGGTAGGAGTTATTTGGTGGCGCAGAAGCTGAGGGAGTTAGAGATGATGGACAGAAACAATGTAGATCATGTGTTGGACATGGAAGAGGTAATCCATTACTACTCCCGTCTTACATGCCCGGCCTACCTCGACATTGTAGACAAGTTCTTCATGGATATGTACTCGGAAATTCTCACACCGCAGACCTTCTCCGGCAATGAATTGCGATCAAGAATCCGATGAGTGAGACCGAGTTAATTGGTAGATTCTTTCCATCTGTTTTAATTTCTTCCCTTTTACTTGTGATTTCAAATCTGCTCTCTGTTTAATTTCTACATATCGCTTGTGTTGTGGTCTTCGGTTGGTGAACTTTCTGAAATTCATTTGTTAGTTTATTACTCGGATCGTGAATCAATCTGGGCTTACTTGTCTAGATCTCATTTTAGAATTAATACATAATATAATTGATTACTGCATTTTACTCTGAAAGGGAGAAAATGCAAGTCTGTGGAGATCTTAATTTGTTTTCAGATGTGGATGCAAGAGTAGGGTTCAATTCCTGGAGAGCAGAGCAAAATGGATATAAATTGGAAGGAAGGCTTCCCTCCAGTTATTTGTTCTTTGCACCATTCTTCTACTTTTGTTGTGTACAAGCTTCTTTTTCTCTTTCTCTTTTGTCTTTGTTTTTCTTTTTTCTTCTTTCCTTTCTTTTTGTTTAAATAAATAAAAAAAAAACAGATTCTGTTCTTAATAGGAGACCCTATATTGATGGTGTCGTGGTGACTTTCAAGGCATTGTAAAATCCTAGCATGCATTGAACCAAACATCCCTGATCATAGTTATGATCTCTGTTGTGTTGGATGCCAAATCTGATAGGCTTAGGTACGTAATATCAACCATTTGTTCTACTATTCATGGATGAATGCATTAAATTACTCCCATAAATTTCTACAGTAGTATTGAAGAAAGGGGACTTTGTAAATTTTGTGGGTTCCCTGTGTTGGGGTGGTCCTCTATATAAAGGGTAGTAGTATGTGGGCTCTGGTTTGCCTTTGAGCAACCCAAAATTGTAAACAGGCATGGTCAATCCGATGTGACTTATTAATGGTATAGGGACGTGGGGCCCTTAAAGAGTTAAGACCCAACTCTGTAGAATGAATATAAAAAAAAGGAAGGATCTGGTTCACCATTATTTTCTCCAAGTCATAAGGACTGAAATACAAAGTCCACCAGCCCCCCGGTTGTTGCGCCCGACTGCCCGGGCGTGGGGTCTATGTCTATCCATCTTATTCATCCATCCATAATTTACCCCAATATATCTATACTTAAGTCCATGGCCGTTTAGAGTTTAGAGTTGAATTGTAGCTTAGACAGCTCACTGAATACACCGTACGTACTTGGTATCTCAGGTTTGCAACCTGCATACTATTTGAAACCACATAAATGTTGAGAAGCGACAACCCACAAGAAAAACTGGTGAAAAAAAAACACTGGATGCACGGATGGGTATTAGTCCTTTGGAAGTTTGTGTTAAGACAAATAGAATAAATCAGCTAATCCTGTCTTAAGCTCAACAGACGGTGTGTAGTCTCGAGAAAAATCAGCAACACAAAGTACTTTTGACAATTTATGATATTCGGGATATTTAGAATTACTTTTAAAATATTTGCTCTCAAAAAAAGGGGTAAATTGTTGAAACCTCCCCTAAAGTTTGGACCATTGCAAAATTCTTCCTTAAAGTTTGGTAATTACAATCATCTTCTCTAAGCTTTTTGACATAGTTGCAAGTGGACTCACTCTATTAGAATCTTTTAAAAAGAGGTGCCAAAATATCCAAAATACTGGTGCAATTACTTTGACCAAAATGTATATTTTCTAAGTTTTCTCTACATATAAAATCACTACCCCAAATCCTTCTAATTTCTTTTCTGAAATTGCTTCCTTTTCCAAATTTTCCCTTAAAGTTGCAACTTTAAATTATCTCTCTCCTTTTTTTTATTTATTTATTTTCATAAAATTTGTATTGCTTTTTCTGGAGAAACCACTAACCAGCCTCAATAGTAACTGTATGGATATTTATTTTAGACATTTTTATGCCTCTTTGTAGAGGATTCTAACCGAGACTTGCAATTGCATCAGACAATTTAGAAAAGTTGATTGCAATTATCAAACTTCAAGAAAGGTTTTTGCAATGATCCAAAACTTGAGGGGAGATTTTCAGCAATTTACCCAAAAAAATTGGTAAATGAGAGATGTTGATTAGGCCTGGGCTTGGGCTTGATTTGGAGGCATGTAATACAAGTGAATATATAACTACGCAAGGATAGCCCCGTCCAAACAAATATGAGGTGTCTAAACGACACACCAACGGAGGGACGAAAGTAGCAGTAGACAGGTCACAGGTGTAAAGAAATGAACAACGAACTACGGTTAAAAACTTAAAATCGATGGATATGAATCAATCTTATTGCTGGAAGAGCACCATCACCAAGCATCTATGAACCAAAAATCCAAAAACAATAACAGAAACTCAACAGATCAAAATATCAACTTCAGTATCACATCGTTTTCCACCCTTTTCTCTTATACGATCTTCGAACAGTTGAGTCGGACCTGCCCAAATGGGGCTGTGAGAACCTGAAGGCTGGAGAGCTTCATCATCGCCATGGCGAAATCCCGGCGGAACAAGGCGCTATCGGCCGCGTAGGCATGGACCCACCATCTGGTTCCATCACCGGTCATCAGTTGCTGGTCGGCGTGAAGGATCCCCCTCCTCTGCACCAGGCTCTTGTAGTATATTGTTCCGAATCCTTGTCCCGTTCCTTCGTAGTCCATATCCATGCCTGGTTCCTCTTCTGATGACGTGGTGGAAGAAGGCGGTTCTGAGCTGCCGGTCCTGTTGCATCTCGACCTCATGAGGTTGAGGAATTCCGGTTCCAGAGTTGGGTCAGGGCCGTTGGTGCCTTTGTAGCTGAACAGACGGTTTCTGAAGAACTTGCAGTGGATCATACCAATGCTATGAGCACCTGCTTGCCGTGGAAAAGAATTAATCAGAGACAAGAACTGAGCAAGAACAGAATCGGAGAACTGTTTAAATTCATTTATATGCAGAATACAGATAGTAACCATTTAGATCTAAGTATGTAATTGGATATTCTTGTTTCAACGAGAACTCAAGAACGGTTAAAAATATCAAGAGTCTAAGATCGACGGCAGAGATTTCTTCACAAGAACAAAAAACACGTAAACGATTACCTAAAAGAGTGACGGTCTCTCTTTCGTCGAATCCCCTTGTTGCGAAGGTCGTAAGGGTTTGGGCGAGTTCGTCATGGGGTGAAGGAAGCTCGGAGGCAGCAATCTGACGGAAAGATAATATGCTGTCTCTCCTTCCCGTACGCAGTGGATAGAAAGGACCGCCGGCCTTAAGTCCAAAATCCGGCGAAATGTCAGATGATGAAACAATATATATATATATATATATATAGATAGAGAGAGAGAGAGACCAGAGCAACGCCATCTCTTGCAGCCAAAACGAGAATATCTGCGCAAGACACTGTTGCCGGGCATTCTTCTTCAAGCTTGGACTTGATAACGTCGATGAGATCAAAACCCTTCAGTGTTTCATTGGGAGGAGCGTCTTTCTCGGACTCAACTCCATTGCTGGCGTCTAAAAGAATGGAGGCATCGCATCCCTGAAAAAGTCCGCGAGAATAAAAGAAAAACAAATCAAAACCAGTACAAAGAATGAAATCCAGAATGCAGGTTGAAAGAAAGAACAAGAATGTTTTACTTGAACGAAACAATCGTGAAAGACGAGACGTAACAGAGCGGGTGCAACATCGGATCGGGTTTTGTACAGCTGGTGAACGGTGGATCGGATGATATACTCCGCCTGTGGGCAGCTATTCCGGTAGAAATCATATTCGAGGAAAGGTTGATCGATGAAGGGAAATTCCTTGGGATTAAAGACTCGAGGGTGATACCAGAATGCGTGCAAAGAGGAGTGTGACATCGGCGTCGAAGTCACTGAACTGGATGTGAGACCATTCTTGGGTTCACCAATCTGGTAGCCAAGCGAGAGCAAAACAGACACTGCGAGCAAGAAGACGCTCAAATTCTTCGCTAACTCCCACATTTTTCTCTCTCCTCTCCTCTCTACTCTCCTGTTTCTTGCTTCTTTCTCGATTGAGTTGCAGGGGGAACGCTGCTGGCCTGATAATCGTAAATCGACGATAGAGTGAGTGCATTTAAGCAAGCTCAGGAGGGCGGGAGAAATCTCAATTAAATGACGTAAATACCCTCTCTAACAGAAAGTTCGTTATACCGTACCATCCACGTCATCAAGGCTTCGCTATACCCGGGTTGAGCCGCCCTTGCGTCCCTCATACCTGGCCCATCCTGATTCCTAGTTATAAAGTTGAGATGCTTTTAATCTATTTAGGCCCAATTTTGGCCCAGAAGATATATCTACCCAAGGCCCAAAGCATATACTGGGTTCATCGGTTACGACTAAGGGTCCGTTTGGTTTATAAAGTCAAAATTGGAATTAGAATGGTCTATTTTCATAGTCTATTTGATTTAGACAGAAATGGAAATGGGAATTGAGATCAGCAGGAATAAGATTTTATTCCTAAGGGAGAAAGAGTAGGGAATGGCCATTCCAGCAAGAATGAGAATAAAACTTTGATTCCGCTCAACGAAATAATTGAAATTGGAATAATCCATTCTGATTCCAATTCCAAACCTCTATTCCCACAAACCAAATAGGGCCTAAGAGTCTTAAGACCTTTGCACATGTAGTGGGTTAATACTGGGCTTCGCATGGGAACGTTATAGGCTTTGGTAACCATGTTGGGCTTTGCAAACTTGCCCACACTCCACCTTGGACGTTGAAGCTGGATTCCGGATGTTAAATGTCACTCTGAATGTCCTACCCACAAATTCTTCCTACATCCCCACCCAAATGACACTACTATCGTGAATTGGCAACATCCCCCATGAATGGTAAAGAGAATATTTCCAATGTGATCCTGTAATGTTGTGTGGGCAGGGATGTTGGAAGAATTTGTGGGTAATCCCCACCCCGTCTCAGTTTCGTCTCCATTTAAGATTGGAGAAAACAAGCCCTAATTGGGGCGGGACAGGGTAGGGCCCTAGTTTTATAGGGAAAATCACCATCCCTACAATTATAATAAGTTTTTATAACTAATTAACTTACGGTAAAATAAATAATAATAAATAACAATACTTTATGATAATTTCTAAAAGTTATTGAAATTGCTATTGATTAGTAGTAATGTATAATAAATTAATTATTTATAATAACAATAAATTAATGTAATTATGATAAATTACATTATTTTTAATTAAAAGTAAACCATTTGCTGTTAATTAATGTAAAACCAGGTATGATCAAACTCAACAAGTGGTCTAGATCGGTGTTGATATATTTAATAATTTTCCTAAATTATTTAATAATTATGAGACAATTTCTGAGATTAATTTATTAATTTAATTTTCCTAATTTTTTAATAATTATTTAGTTGAACAATAATAAATGGATGATTATTTAAATAGTTTTGGAGACTATTTTTTTCATAGATTAATTTCTTAGTTTTAATTACTTATTTAAAAAATAATTATGAATTATTAGTTAAAGAGTTTGCCTAAATTATTTGATAATTGTTAACTATAATTATTGATTTTATAGAAATTAGTAAGTTACGCTAATTAGTATTATTTTTTATTAATAAATTATTATTGTAAAAATTTAATGAAAATTTATTAAATTACAATGATTAATGTAAGTTACACTAAATGTTGAAATTTTAAACATTTATTAACAACAAAAAGTATTAAATAATGGATTATTTATTAATTTTTGGTAGATAATTAAATTATTTAATATTTTTTAAATAATTGATTATTTCTGAAATAGTTATTTCATAATTTTTGGTAGAATATTTTTCAGAATTCTTTAATAATTTAAATAACTAATGGATTATTTAACAATAGATTATTATTTAAGAACAGGTTATTTAACATCAAAATCCCCTTATTCCCCCCCTCTCTTTGCTTGAAATCACGTCCATAGATATAAATATTGTGCTGCTTTTACATTAACATTGCACTAGGCTAACTGTTCTTGGTTGAACCACCAAAATTTGGTTTACCCCGGCGAATGTTTGCACCTGGGACTCTGGGAGGACATGATTTCAAGCAAAAAAAGGTTTCAAGATTTTAATGGTTACCATTACACTGAGCTAACTGCTTTGGTTGAACCACCAAAATTTGGTTTAGCCCGGCGAATGTTTGCAGCCCATAAACTGTGCTGGGCTGGGCCCTAGCCTAAGAATTAATATTATGTGCTCGACCCAATTCGTAAATTTGCCGCCTGTAATTAATGGCTATTAATTATTACTTATTCAAGGAGTATTTTGCTGATGTGGCAATTCTTTTTGTTTTGAAAAATCAAATCATACGAGAAAACCCTATTAAGCGTTCCTCAATAGAAAATTTCTAATTTCACTTTTGTTCATTTGGATTCTAGTTTAATGATGGCCAGTAAATAAGCATTACCATGTTTTTCTAACAATTAATACAATTAAAAAAAAAAAAACGTGTCACTTGTTCGTCCTTACCTCTAGGGTTGTCAATGGACAAGTTTTGGACTGTCTAAATCAAAATTATTTTGGATGGAATAGACGGATTAATAAGAAATATTGAATGGGCCAGTCCAGACTTAATGGTTTAAAGTATTATTTATTTGATTGGATTGGACCTGATCCATCCTTAATGGATTTATATTGGATTCAATCTGATTGAACTGATATTTGGTTGATAGAAGATAAGAATACAGATGTCAACGAATTAGGTCTGAGTTGGAAACAATCTAAATTAAAACCAATTCGAACTGACTGAATACGGTCCAGACATTGAATTGGTACAATAAAAAATGGTTCAAAGCATTTATTGGATTAGATTGGATCTGATCCATCTGTAATGGATTCATATTGATCCGGATTGGATTGGATCAAATCTGGTCCAATCAACAATCCACCTTACCTCTACTTTTTGGCCGTAGTTTGTACATCAAATACACTTGGCTTTCTTTCATGCTCTTTACAATTATCGATCCATAGAGTATGGATGAAATACTCAAGTTGTCCAGTCACAAGAAAGAGATTAATTGGGCCAGCCATGTTTTAGTCTCCGAAGAAGGTGAAGTAATCAAAGATAAAGAAAGATTGACCCGATTGATCCATTGATTAATTTGCCTTAAGCCATTCTAACAAGGAAGTAAGCCCTAAGTGGAGTAATGGCCACATTTTTGGGCCGATAGAGTGATAGGTGATAGCCAACTTGAGCCCAAGAGGGGATGCGTCCAGTATAGAAGGAGTAGGGGCTGTGTTCAGTATCTCCTGGATGCGTGGCTTTGCCATGGACTCATTTCATGCCATGTAGGAGCGTCAGGATTTGATCCAATCCAATACAATTCAATATGAATTTATTAAATGGATCGGGTCCAATCCAATCCAGTAAATATTTTGACCATTTTCTGGTCCAATTTAATGTTTAAATCATCCCAATCTGCTTAAATTGGTTTTAATTTAAATTAGTTTCAATTCAAACCTAATCTATTGATACTTGTATTCTTATCTTCTATCAATAGATTGGATATCAGTTAATATGACCCAATCCAATACAGATAAACCATATTTAATTCATTCTAATAAATACTTTGGAGCATTAAGTCTGAACTTGTCCAATGCAATGTCTTATTAATCCTTATTAATTTCATTGTAGAGAGTATCCAATCCAAAACTGGTCCATTACCTCTAGTGCCATGCAAGGTGGTTGGGACGTTGCGATCTGTGGGTCAGTCAGGATGCGACACGCTCAAGAATAAAATTTGGTGGTCAATAGGTACTGGAGGTTGTCCTAGTAATTAAGGCTACTGTTTGCTGTGATCATCATGAACTATTTCCCCACCATGGAGGAGAGAAGTCACTTTCCAATTTTACTTTTTACTCCCCACCATGTGCAGTTTTAACTAGAGGAAGGCACCATGAGAATGGGCTACCCCCATGAATCAAAGAAAGAAAAAGGATAACAATAATAATAATAATAATAATAATAATAATAATAATAATAATAATAATTTCTTTATGCACACCGACATATATACATAAGCTTGTTAATGGGTTGGGTCTATCCGATAGAGCCAAATCTACTGAATGGATTATGTTGATGGTTCCGTGGTTTTGTCTTTGATTAATAATTGTAGAATGGATTATTGCTGTTATGAAATAATTCGAATCCAAACCAATTATATAGTTAATAATACATAAAGATAATTTCATTTTCTTATAAATTTTGTCATAATTTATATGCAAATGGATAAATGTCATAAATAGTATGTAAGATTATTTTATTAAAAAAACTTGCTTTATCAACGTATAAACAGTATTTGTTTTCTTTTTTCTTTTTGGTTTTATTTTGAGGATGGGCTACACAACAGGGGTATCCCTCCCTCAAAACCCTAGACCCCAGGCTAGCTGGCACCTTCAACATATAAACAGTTTTACCATTTTACTGTCATTTTTATTCATATAACAAATAATGTTGTTATTGTAATAGGCAATTATAGGTTCGGACCCAATTAGATAGATAGATAGATAGAAGTCTATAAAAAAAAATAAAAATTAACAAAAAGTAATTTGTTTTAGCAACAAGCTAAAACAAATGTTGATATTGGAGAACACACCTCAAGTATATATTTGGCATTGATGTCTTTTTTTTTGTGTTTGGAAATATTGCTGTGAGATAGGACATTTCTTGGAGCAACAACAATACCTTATGTTTGGTACTTGTGTTTCATATCTATTTTCAGCACTGGTACCCATTATAGGAAGTTCACGTTACTACCACATTATGTCCTCGTTGGTAGCAACAAGCTCTAATATGAGAAAACGTCAAATTCGGCATTGCTCCAAACCATGCCTTCTTGATTTTCAAGGCATGGCTTGGAGTACCATTTTTATGAAAAAATGGTTTCAAACATATTGACATTTCCTGGAGCACCATTTTTTCCAACGCGACGCTTATATATCACCGTTTTCTAGAGCAACGGCATCAATGCCAAACAAACGCCAAGTAATCCATAAACTGGTGATCACTACATGTTTAACTGTCATGTTTCTCACATAGCGTTCATCAGTCATTGAGAAAGAAATATAAAAGGGAATCGAGGAGATGCCTCAAGCTAATGTGTTGAGGCTTTCCCTTTCCAATGCAAGCTCCAAAATAGGGTCTTATCTGTAAGCTTTTGTGCTAAATTGTCATCCCAGATATTGAGGATTCCATACTGGTAATCCCTGAAATCTCTAGAGAAAGAAGGCAACAAAGCCCCCCTTAAAAAAGTGATCAAGTGGGTCGGTGCTCTCCTTTAAGAAGCATATAGTCTTTTGTCTATACATGTGTTCTCTTGTGAAGGTAAAAAAAGATAAAGAGATAAAAAGCTGTCTTTGTCTGCTGTCTCTCTCAAAGGAAGTAATTCAATAAAGACATGCTTAGATGAAAATATTCTAAAACTGCTGGATTGGGAAGAAAAGAAGAGAAAAAAAAAGGAATCAGAACCATAAAGAGATAGCATTCAAATCAAGATGTGGGTGTTTCTGCATTCAAATTCCATGATGAACAAGAATGGTCAGACACTGAAATTATTGTGAGGGAATATTGTGGGTTGATTGCAATAAATTAATGTGTTAAGATAATTATATACTGTGCATCGGTATAAGCATAAAGAGAGAGAGAGAAGAAAAGATGTTTGATATGTTTCTCTCATGTTTCAAGACTAAACAGGAGAAAGTGGAAACTGGCAGCTGGTCATTAATCGATAAGCTAGCTTGATGTTCATACACTAGACGATTTGGGTGTAACTAATAAAGGGAAAGGGAGAGAAAAAAGACCCTTTTCCCTTGTTTTCACCAGAGGAGAAAACGCAACTTGGCTGCTTTAAAGCCTTATACCATGTGGAATGATTGAATGAAGGACGAATGATCAAAGAAAGGTGGTGAGTCGTGAGTGGTGGTCCCTAACAGAGGGAGAGTTGATGATGGAGTTGCCCATCTACACATTCCGTCTTCAGACTCTCTATTGACCTCCAAATTAAGCTTCTGATGGATTGGATTGTATACTCTCTCTCTCTCTCTCTGTATGTGTTGCCCTTTTCATCTAGATAACAGAGATAGCTCAAGAGGGGATGTGGGGATTGTTGTGCTGGTGAGGAAAGCAGCAGCTTAGTGGGAGCGGGGACCTGCGTCTGAATCAAATCTCACAATCAGTAGTAGAAGTCTAGGCTTTGAGAGTTGATAAGCCTGATGAGGAGAAGCCAAACTGAAAGATGCACTCAGGGTTGTCAGTCTAGGAAGAAAAGATATCGTTTGTATCAATTTGGGAAATCTCAACTGTTGAGTACTAGGACCAATTTTATTGTAGGTTCATGTGGAAATATTGTGATAAGAGTGTTCTCTGGAACCTCACTTAATTGTTCCCCTCTAAGCCCGAAAATTTGATATATTGGGAGAGCATGCTCCACCATTTTGATTTCTTACTAGTTTACTTTGGAACTTTTGGGTTCCATCACAAACCTCCAATATATTGAGTATGTGATTTTTTCCTTTGATAGATTGGAGTCTATTTCAGACCCATATATACTTTACTTTGTATTTGTTCAAAGCTCTCCATAATCCATACTTCATCTACTCATTACGATTCTTGGTTCCTGGAAATCTACATTTAGGCTTAGCATTTCTTATTTTAAGGACTTATCTTTTTTTGCAGTTAAAATGTTTTAATTAATACTAAATTTTTTTAATTTCAAAAAGTAGATAAGTCCTTAATATAAGGAATGCCAAAGTCAGCCTAAGTGTGTTTGGTTCTTTAAAGCTCATTCCAGCTAGTTTCAAAATGTATTACTTAGGGAGTTCAAATTTGCTTCTCACCGAGCGCCGCCTCACATCAATCTCACAGTGCTTCCATTCATGCATTGAGAACATCTCCTGTGCTTGATTTTATCATGGGAAGATGTTTTCAATGCAGGGCTGCGATATGCTGTGAGGATGGTGTGAGGCGTGTTCTGTGAGGAGTAAATCTGATTTCTTATTGAGGCCACATGTTCTTGGTGACCGTGGCGTACTTTGGTAAAACACTTATTTAGTAATAAAAACTAATTTTTAAATCCGAACACACTACACCACCATGTGCCGTATATAACATCACAAGGGGTGTAGTGTGTTTCAAAACTTACAACTTCAAATAGGGGTGTTAGTGGACCGGTTTTGGATTGGACTCCATCCAAACCAAAATCAATTTGAATGGACCAACAAGACATATTGAATTGGACCAGTCCAGACATAATGGTCCAAAGTATTTATTGAATTAGGTTGGATTGAGACAGTATCTGGTCCATTGATAGAAGATAAGAATGTAGGTGTCAATGGACCTAGTTTAGGTAAAAACCAATTTAAATGAAAATAAATTTGAACAGATTGGATGGTCCAGACATTAAATTGGATTGGTCCATATATAATAGTCCAAAATATTCATGGGATTGGATTAAATTAGACCTGATCCATTTATAATAAACTCACATTGGACTGGATCGGATTGCACCAAATCCAGTCCAATTAACACAATGAGGCCCAATAACAAAGAACACACCACAGTACCAAGTACATCCAAAGTTGTATATAGATATGGCAGACCCATTAATGATATGGGGACTGGTTTTTGCATCAATAATGGTGTTTGAATGGCCGGGGTGTCTTACACGTAGCAGAATGGTGTAGAAGATTTCACATCTTCTGTACATGACCTCTGCTTATGTGGCATACTTTAGCTCAATATCCCCACAAGAACAAAATATATGGTTAATTTTCTCCTAGGCAAATTCACTCAACTACAGAATTGCACAGTTGGTCCCCAATTCCCTCGTAATCCATTTCCATGATCCAAACAACAGAACAGAAAATCACAAAACCAACTTGTCTGAAATAGCATTTACACAAATGTGTCTAAATCTTAGAAAAGAGATCACAACAGAAGACATTACATACTTAAAGAAGGCGATGGTTTGGACTGTCCTTGGCTGTGGCAAAATCATTGATAAATAATTTAATTTGGACTGAGTGCCCCTCACCATTTGATGACATGCTGACCTTTACCAATCAATTAAACCTTTGAAAATGGTCCAAGAAAAATTAAAGTATACTAATCAAACGGTTAGAATCATTAATTTTGGACCACATACAATAAAAGCAGTAAGACCCATCACTGAATTGGTCAAGAGTCCCAAATTCATCTTTAAGCATGTGGAGAGTGCACCAATTCATGTGAGGTGATAACGTGTATAATGACCCAATGGCTATCATCAGCTTGGACCTTTGAGAAGTCATCCTCTCAGTGATTCATGGAAAGTACTTTGTAAAATAACTATGCATGAAAAGTACTTTGTAAATATTCCTAAGTTAATTAAAAGTGTAAACAAACTTAACTTTTCTCCTTCGCAAAAAAAAAAAAATCATAATTTTCCCTGTAACTTAATTTTTATATACTAATTAATTGCCAAAGCAAAGAAGAGAAAAGCCAGCAGTTGATGGTAGTAAATGCTAAGGGACCTAATAATAATTTGTAGCCCCACCTTGCTTGCCCTAAATAGGATTCATAAGAAAAAAAACCCTCTTTGATGTTGACAGTCTTATCTACTAAATTAATCCTTCTCTCTCTGTCTATTTATCTATGAATCGAGCTAGTGTCCTTATTCTCAAGCCAAGGATTCCATATTTGATGTACTCATCAACCCTATTCGGTTGGAATAAATCCCACCACCTACGCATATTAAAACCCTAGCTAAGCCCTCCTATGCTCATATAAACCTTGTGTGTAATACATTCATGCATCTATCTTATTGTAAATATCACATCATATATATAATGGAGGGCCCGAAGTAATTCGACCCAGGATTGGATCGGATGATTGAGCTATTTGATTCAGGAACTGATGGCTAATATGGTTCTGTTTTTACAATCTTTCAATTTGCTGTAGAAATCATATCGACTTTCGAAATATGGTAGCTGTGGTCCGTGCTTCATTCTGATGATACCAACTTGACCTTTGGAGATGAGGATGATAAACACAAGTCATATAGCAAAGGGGATAGTGAATGCGAATGGCTATCTAGTGATATTTCTATAGCCACATCAATAATAATACCAGTGACCCTTGAAAGGAACTCTCTAGCTTGGCTCTCTATATGGCTTACCATGAGAGAAGGATTCTTGTATATTTCCTTTTCTTTCTCTTCTTGCTTCTAGTAATTACATCTTGTGTGATAGTCTCTAGCATAGTCAAGTATAAAGTGTTAGTGGGCATGCACCCACTAATCCAGACTTTTTAGGGTTTGGGGCACCTCTATGAGTGTGATTTGATTTGACTGTTTTTCTACTGATTGGACTACTTAATTAACTACTTAACTGGTTGATCCATTCAAGTAACACAACTTAATTTAAAATGGAGAATTAATGAGTACAGGGTTTGTGGTAAGCAAAACACTGAAATATTCTAAATTTCATCCCCAAATCCTTTGGAGATTGTAAAGGTTAAGCACAGTAATCACTAATGCTACCATCTTTGAAATAAACGCCAAAACCCAGACAACCTTTCTCCCTCGTTTTTGTCTGTCTGTCTCTATGTCTCATACTAAAAAAGTCATCCCTAACCCTAATTAGAGAATGACAATGTACAGGACGTACAAAGATGGTAGAGGGGGGGGGGGTGCACCCACCAAGAGGCTACAATAAACAGTTCATTCAGTCGCGGTTCCTCCTTAGCAAGACTTCATTGCCGTTTTGAGTATTATTGGAACATCAGATCCAACCACAAATTCTTCATTTTCTTCTGTTTTCTTGAAATGGAGGAACATCTGGTCTGAAAGAACCATTACACTTCTAAAACTTCAAAAACCTCTAATACCCATTAATGTCGTTGGTCATTGATCTGTAGACTGTAGATGTTTCAATTCTGAAATAGAGCTGGTAAAGAGATTGGCTTAGTGTGGTTTTGGCAATGTTGGTGGTGAACAACTGAATGCAGGGAAATGACGCCTGGCCTCAGCTTTCCAGCACTGCTCGATATCTTGTGCTACCCTTCTGGCATCCATCGATGCACCCAGTAGGCCGCGTTTGGTGAACCCCACAGCGTATAGCCCAAACTCCCCTTTCCACCCATTTGGGAATGGCCTCCTTGGCAACCCATCTTGCTTGGAAAACAAATCTCCTTCCTGAAAACAATTTCAATTTGATTCAATCAGTTCTATTTAATCCGCATTCTAATAGAAATCTTGAGACAATAATCTATTAGAAATTTTGATAGAGTTAGACCTTGTAATTGGGGCCCTGAGATGTTTAATCGGTAAAGATTATGTTAAAAAAATGGAGACAGCAACTAGTTCCATTTCATCTCTCTTTTGTAAAAAAAAAAACCGTTGACTCGATCAGCGATTTATCAATCTAGATGATCCAACCATTGACTCATTCGATCAGAATAATGTTTTTTGGGCTGTTTTTATTTTTTAAATTATAACGGACCATCCATTCGAACCGGATGAGCAGTTTGACTAGAAACGGGTTATTAAAGCGGTTCCGGATCCGGGTCTGTTTTAAAAACATGGGGCATAAGAATAAGAGATACCTTTAACCAAGAAGGTACGTTGCTTTTGTAACCAGTTGCCAAGATGATGGCATCGAACTCCTCGATGCACCCATCAACGAACTCCACTGCGTCTTTTGTTAGTCGCTTTATGCCCCGGCGAACCTGCAACAAACTCAAAAATGATTTGACATACGGAGCAGAGATCGAGACACCAAAAAGCTTGTAATATCATATGGAATATAATAGCTAGGCCACCCAGCGAGCAGCAGCAGACCTTGATCTCTCCAGATTTTATCTTGGCAAGTGTCCCTGCATCCAGTACTGGTGTCTTGCCAGACGAGTTCTTGAGCTCAAGGGGACCGAGGTGTGGGCGGTGGAGGCCGAGACGGGATGTGTCGCCGAGCATGAGACGCGACACCAGCAGCAAGAAACGATCGACGAGGCGTATGGGCAGCCACTTGAGCAACCACATGGACAGCCCAAAAGTTGATCTCCCCAGCATCTCCCGTGGTAGGACGTGCACCTGCAGCCCGAGATAAAGGAACCCCCAAAAGCTCAGAAAAGAAACTAACGACAGTGACCAAAAGATATGGGATGATGAGATGATGGCGTGCAGTAGCAACCCGATCGAGAAAGTGAAAGAACAAGAACAAGGGCTTTAAAAAGTGAAAAATCTTAATCGGGAGATTTCTTAATTGGATAGGTGTTTTAGTTATTAATTTGGATACAGAAGAACATGACGAAAGGAAAGAAGGAAAAATCTTTTTAATGGGTTTGGCTTAAATACTTACTGAATCTCTGACCACAAGAGATGGGGTAGCGTTATGGTTGCAGAGGTCCAGACAGACCTCCATTCCTGAATTTCCACATCCAACCACCAACACTCTCTTGCCGTGGAAAGCGTCTCCGCTCTTGTAGGAGCTGGTGTGAACAATAGGCCCTGAAAACTCGCTCAGTCCTTCAAATTCCGGAACAATGGCCTCCGCATTCTCCCCGGTAGCCACCACCAACCACCGAGACACGTACTCAGTCCTGTCGTCCTTCTTCAATCCCACAGTCCTCACCCGCCAGAGCCCATGGTTGGGTTCATACTCGGCGCTCTCTACTGTTTTGTTGAACACTGGGTGTAAATCAAACTGGCTAGCGTAAGACTCCACGTAGCTCACAAATTGCTGTTTAGTGGGATAAGTAGGAAAACTGGTGGGAAATGGCATCAGCGGCAGCTCGCAGAATTGCTTGGGGAGATGGAGGCAAAGACGGTCGTAAGTTTTGAGCTGCCACAGAGAAGCTACGCAGTTAGCTCTCTCAAGGATCAAACTGGGAACTCCGCTTTCCTTGAGGCACGCCGCTGCGGCAAGGCCGGAGGGGCCGGCACCGACAATGACTGGACCTGGCACCCAGACGCACCTTGCACCTTTATTCATCTTCTCGCCCAAGTGATCATGAACTCTCTTGCCTTCTATTTCTCTGATGAAATCCATGAGGAGTATATATGAAATGAAACAAACAAAATTAAGCAGTTATAAAACTGTCTTCACTTGCTTCCTCTGTAACCTAGTAGTTGGACGTACTGCAACAAAACAGGCCATATATACAATTGGCTGAGACGGAATACAACTCATGAATTCCCTGAGTTTCTAAAAATGAGATCAGTCTGGATTGAATGATATATTACTCTCTTATCTAAGATTCTAAGGGAGGACTAAATTGAGAACCATGGCAAGTGATGATTTCAAATTGATAAGTTGGGTATAAGGAGTCTTACCACTTTGAAAGGGTAGGTTTTCAATGTAGTACTATTTGTTTTGTTGGAGGAGAAAACTAAGAGGAGGGTGCTAGGGGACTAATTAACTCAACCCAAGAGACAACGAGAGAGAGAGAGAGAGAGCATTGAATTGAAGTCAATCTTATATGGAAGGCCAAGTGGGCATTAGTAAGCAATGCAAGTGGGACATGGCTATATAATAATAACTACAATTACAATTAGCCAAACAACAGCTTCTGATCCTTCTCTTCACCCACTCAATAACATCTTTTGATCCTTCAATGACAGGAGAGAAAGCCAATCAGTCTCGTCTAAAAAGAAAGGCATGAAGGTCCTTTCAAGGGTTTCTTTTCTTAATTTAATTAAGACCCCATGAAAATATGGAGGCTTTTGGACCCACCAAACACTAATGCAAAGAATTAATATAAGACTCTTTGAGTCTAGTTAAACAATATTTTATCGACTGTTGAAATGGAAATTACTATATATAAACCTTTTTGGTTTCTTTATGATAAAAATATTGAATGAATGGAATAGCCTAATGGCTTCCGAGAAAAAAATTGCAACTAATTAAATTTCTGCACATTGAGACAAAACATAAATTAATTATTAAGCTCATGGTTAGAACTCAGAAATGAATGGTAATGGCAGGGAGACATAATCCGAGCTACAGGTATCTAATAATAAGAATTGATGGAGATGATGAGATCCATTTGCTCATTAATGACGAACAATTTGGTAGTTCGAAGTGCAAAGTCCTATCTTGTCATTCCCTGCCACTATGTTGTCCTTGGATAGGGCACTTGGGGCATGATGTTAAGTGACCAAGTGACTCCCCACCAAGCCACGAATCTCGAGAGATCACCTTTTCTTTTCACTGATTTTCTTTAGGAAAAAAAAAACTAAATCAAACATAACTAACAGAATATCCCTGATTCCTTCGATCAAAGTATCTGTCCTTTCCGAAGGCTCCAATCCTCCAAATAATTTCAACCCACCTCGTGCATGAAAGAGATTTTAAATGTTTTCTTCTTTCGTCGCTCCTGCTTATTCCTTAAGTCTGTGGGTGGAGACTGTTGATCCACCTTGGTGCATTAACAATGTTATTATTGATTCTAGGAGAGCAGCAAATGAAGCTGCTCATCGAATTCCTAGGTTTGTTCTTTCATGTATTGTTCTGGTTGATGTACTAAATCGAACTGAATGAATGAATTTGTACTGTTTAAGCACTTCAAAAAGGGAAAAAAAAACTTCTAAGTAACTCTAATGAATAACTATAGATTAAGCATTGGTTTAAGGGATGTCAATGGATTGGGTTAAGTGGTAAATAATTGAGTTTTGGGTTTGAGTTGAGGTGAACCCATAGTGGACCTTACTCATTGATATCGCAACATTGAAATATTTATGTATTTATACAGAGGCTTGATTAAGTCTAGGTATATCATATATGGGCCAGGCCAGCTGGTTGGGTTGATACCCTTCTTTATCTGGCCAGACAGGATCAGGTTTGGATTAGCTGTGTCTAAAGCTTGGGCTATTTAGTAGGTGTTTGGAATCGATGTCGTTTCTTTAGAGCCATTTTCTGAGAAAATGGTGTTGTATGGATGGGGTCTGTTGCATTGTTTTATCAGAAAACAACTCATTTTTTTGTTTAGCATTGGTGATGCCACATAGGATGTTTTATGGGAAATAACACTAGTTTTATTTGGTACCAGTGCTATATAACCTTTTTGAGCATTAGTTTACATTATCCAATGCTTCAGATGATGCCACATTGGTGCTACAACATTGTACGATTGGCAGCAATGGTCTGAAACCTAAGAAAACGTTGAAAATGTTGAATTTGATGTGTCTTCAAATCATGCTTTTCCCGATTTCTAAGGCATAGTTTGGGGCAACGTTTTTTTTTCTGGAAAAACAGAACCAAACATTAGGCCATTTTTTGGGGCACTACTTTTTCTGATGTAGCACTGATGTGGCGCCATTTTCTAGGGCAACGACATCGATGCCAAACACCGCCTTAGTGAATGAGAGAGGCGCGCCTAGACATTTCTCAATGATGAAAGGAACTGCTATAGCCTTATAGGCTAATGACACTAATGTGTTACCCCTACCCCCTAAGCAAGGTTCAAATTTCGGTCGTATCGTATTGGCACTTAGAAACGGTCAAAACTCTATTTTTTTTAGTTTTTTTTTTTAATTTTGGTTTTCTGGGGAGCTTTTAGCATGCTTTTTATTATTAAAAAAAATTGGGGGTCCGATACACCTGAAAACAGGCATTTTGGACCGTATTGTTTTCAAAAGTTATGATACGATACGCCCGATACAAGGGCGTATCGTATCGATACTTTGAACCATGCCCCTAAGGCTCAATTTAGAAAGAGTATAAATATAAATATGTAGAGTGTGAAACCTTGTATTATATATTTTTGTGTTTATACTCTTTCCAAACTGAGCCTAAGGATGAATCATAGGGTAGGGGGAGAAAATACTTTATATGTTTTGTGAAATCTCTATAATGCATTTGATGCATTGGAATTTGATGTGATATAAGACCCTTGATCTCATTGGATGTCTCAATATGGAATGTTTCAACCTAAGAGTAAGTAGCCATGAAGTCTCGGAAGCAATTCCGATGGATCATGGAGTGGCCCAATCTACCTCCCAGAAGTTGCACCAAAAATAGAAGAGGAAAAGCACTCAAGTGCTTAGGCATTTTTTCCTCCATTTTTAATGTAGAGGGGGAAGAGGGGTTGTTGATCCCATTCTTCAAAGATCAAATCTGGTATGAAGGAGTAACAGCTAGGGGTAGCCCTTTCCCCATAAACCACCTGAACTTGAATTCAATAGCCATTAATTTTGTCAACATTTTCTTTCTTAATTACTTTTGAATTAAGACTGAATTAATCAACCACTGCAGCAATAAAGTTGAACACTGAATTATGAAGAAGTAATTCTTCTTTTTATATATACATTGATTGTAAATGTTGTCCATGCATCAAGATTTACAGCCAAAGTGTACAATGGTCTTGGGGTGTGAGATTTGCATCAAATGTACAAGATTTGTAATCTAAAATGCTTTTGTGGTACCAGTACCACACCAAACATCTTTCTGTACTGAGGAATCGCTTTGACAAACAATAAGTGACAATATTGAAATGGACCCTAACTTTAAAGTTTTGGAAGTTTGGAACTGAGGCTGAAAAAGGGAAAAGGTGAACCAGTTGGGATAGATCAGAAGATGGTGAGCCTCCAAGATGGGAGTTTGGAGTTTGTACTTTGAATTCTGCATGAAACACTGATAAATGAGATTAAAAACAGCAGTTTCTGAACTTAGAAGCAGATTTTCTAGGGCTGTCCCTCCCAGTAGAGGAGGGGAGACAAGTTCATAACTTGGGTCGGGGCCCATGAAAGGGAAGTCTTAATAAAGCCTAAATCAACTTACACCTACTGAGCAGAAGAAAAGAAAAGAAAAGAAGAGAAGGAAGAAGAAAAAGCCTAAATCAAAGCCTCACCTTTCTTAGCCATTGGGACGCTGTCAGGCCCAGGGGTGTGGGACCTCCGCACAGCACCTGCTTTCAACGCTCATGCAATGCTTTGCAGTTCACTGAAAAGCAATACAATACAAATACGGATTTGGATTGTTTCATCTTCTCCTTTTCTAAAAGATCAAACCCTAACCGTCCATCCCCACCTTAAGTGTTTTTTTTTTTTTATTGTACTTAAATCAGTACTCTCTCTCTCTCTCTCTCTCAAATGGGTTCCTTGCTTCTGCAACTACCACAATTTACGAAATGCCAAATACCCACGTTAAGGGTGCAATGCATCCATATGTAATTGATTTCACTTGTAGACCCAGAGAGGTTTCAGTAGTAGAACCTCTATATTATGAATTAAGATGAAATTAATCTCAAAATGTTTTAATTCATTCAGTGTTCATTCTCCTCCAGGCATATTACAAGTTTATGAGCAAGTTTCTAGCTCCTTTTTGTTTCCTATTTATACATGGAAAGCTGCATTAACCCACCTGGATAAGGTTCCAACATGCATTAGTGCTGCTGCTTTTCAATACTCAGATTGGTTGCCTTTGAGAATTATTGCCAATATAAGATAGTTTCTGGGTGTTAATGTGTTAAGAGGATTACAGTGAATTTGTTTGTTGAAAAGCTTAAACCCCAACAGTGGGCAGGCTAGTACCTTGTTGAATCAAAATTAATTTCCTTTGATTCTCTGCAAACTAACTCGGAATTGGAGTTCCCACAAAAGATATGGTGAAGTGTTTGTTGTATATTTTCCAAACTAATTAATGATACTGAACCTAATTTTTTCCATCAAATTCATACTTACTCATCAAGATTAACACAGAACCACGGCATTTCTTCTTTGATAAACAAATCGCAGAAATTGCCCAGATTAATATGATAATTATTTTTGGGGAAAAATTGTATCAGATGCTTGTGAGGAAAATAAATTAATTTACTAATGAGTTGGTTGATATTTAAGCTGCATTTGGCATGCTTTCATAGAATTACTTCTAACGAAGTTTGTATTCTAAGAATCACTTTTGAATTTGACTCTTTGAGTTTGAAGGTTGTGTTTGGTTGTAGTGCAATCTTATTTGCACTAGTACAATGCATAGGAGTGCAAATTCTGGTTTAATTAATTTTTGGTTGGGTTTTATTTCATTCTGTTTAGGTCTTATTTTATTTCATTTGTACTGCAATCAAATAAAACAAGATAAATTTTAAAACAAAAATAAATCAAAATTTGCACTCTCATAGCTTTGCATCAGTACAAACTTATTTACATTGCAATCAAACACAGCCTAAAATTTTAGCTTCAAAAAAGAATGATCTTTTGGCTTAGAACTCATTCTTCAAATAGCAATTTTTGGCAAGTCTGGATTTCCTACTGAACTCTATCAACAACAAACTGTAGCTACACATTTCATCGGTGTCATGGGTAGCGTGTGTAGAGTCATGTGGGCAGGAAATCCAGTGCCTTTTTTGGCACATAATTTCAACCAAATAGGTATAACAACAACAACAACATCTAGCCAATTAATTGAAACGAGACACGAAGAAAGGAGAAAGTAGAGAACCCTTTCTTGGGAAGTAATTAACAAATGTT